ACCTTTAATCATTTTTGTTACTCTCCTCTGGACCCTCTCCAATTTGTCCACATCCTTCCCGCAATGGCGCCCAGACCTAGACACAATACGCTAGCTGAGGCCATGTCAGCGCAGAGTAGAGCGGAAGGATTACTTCTCGTGTCTTGCTTACAGCTCTCCTGCTCATCCTGCCCAGAGTGATGTTTGCTATTTTTGCAAGTGTGACACTGTTAACTCATGTTTAGCTTGTGGTTCACTCTGACCCCCAGATCCCTTTCTGCAGCATTCCTTCCTAGGCAGTCATTTCCCATTGTGTGTGTGTGCAACTGATGGGTCTGTCCTAAGGGGAGCACTTTGCATTTGTCCTTATTGAATTTCATCCTGCTTGCTTCAGACCATTTCTCCAGTTTGTCCAGATCATTTCGAATGTTCATCCTATCCTCCAAAGCACTTGCAATGCGTCCCAGCCTGGTATCATCTGCAAACTCTATGCCATTATCTAAATCATTGATGAAGATATTGAACAGGCCCGATCCCTGTGGGACCCCACTCGTTATGCCCTTGCAGCTTGACTGTGAACCACTGATAACTACTCCCTGGGAACAGTTTTCCAACCAGTTATCCACCCACATTGTAGTAGCTCCATCTAGGTTGTATTTCCCTAGTTTGTTTATGCAAGGTCAGAAAGCCTTACCAAAGTAAAGATATACCACATCTACCGCTTCCCCTCTGTCCACAAGGCTGGTTACCTTGTCAAAGAAAGCTATTAGGGATTCATACCTGGATCTATCCAGTCTTAATAGCTATGAATCCAATGGCTTCCCTTCCCACATGATGTCAGCAAAAGTAGCAACGAGGCAGCTGAACAGCTCTGCTGCCACAGTGTGGCATGGGGGGGAAAGGATTTTTTCCACTCAGTCCCAGAATCCCTCCCCAGGGACCAGCCCAGCTGCTTGGGATATGCCTTGGGCACAAAGTTTAGGCTTCAGCCAGTTCATAGCTCAGTTTCAGACCATGTGAAAAATCAGAAAAAGTAACAACCATCACCAATTACATTTGAAAACTTGTCTTCACAACCATAAACGTTTAACAGAAAGTTTCTATGTAAAGCTTCAATTCTGCAGAAAGTGATGGGAAAGCATCCCACAAGTAAGGGACATTTTCTTCCTTGCTATATTGCCAGGCTCTGAAAGAAAGGGAGCCAATGGCAAAGCTGGGACCAGAACCTATAATTCCCGACTCCCAGACACTTACTCTAACCACTGGAGACAGCAAGGCTTAGCAGGGTGTGAAGACTGGTAGTCAGGAGATCTGGGTTCTGGTTTTGGTTCTACCATTAACTCGCTGAGAAACCATGAGAAACCACTGAGCCTCTCTTTGCTACAGGTTCTGTAAAACAAACGTAAGTTCTACATAAACGCAGGTGTGATGTGAGTTTTAACTACTTTTTGAAATGCACTTTGTCTTTCACTTAAAAATCCCAAAGTATTAATGTAGGGTAAAAATAAATGGGTGACTTCTTAAAACGTATATTTTTTAAATACTCAAAGTGCTTTCAAAATTAACAATCCACACTCTGGGCAAATTATTGGCTCACAAACTAAACAAAAATATTTAAGAGTTAGTTTCTCCAAAACATTTAATGAAACAATCCTCAAGCATTAAAAAGCAAGCAAGTTATAAATGAAGGCAACATACATAGCCAATACGTATCAGTTTCCAAGCACTGGCCCACTATCATGCTCTTTAATCTCGCCAAGATAGTAACACTCCAACACACTCACCTTCGATTCAACTAGTGCTATCGCCTCATCCTCAAATGAACACATCAAATGACTGATCACCTGCAATGCACAACCTTAGCTCTGACCTTCCAATGCTACAGTTAATCATTATCATCTTAAAATTGCAGTTTTTAGCATCTCCATATACTATGCCCTAAATAAAGAAAAAACATAACACTGATCACACAAACATATTTCTCAAAAACACACCTGAACTTCACAACGTTCACATTATGAGCCAGATCCTTGGTGCAAAAGGACCAGGAAAAACGGCATTTCCAGAATTGGGATTCTCCCAGCATCAGTAGATAGTTGGGGGTTCCTACCCCTCACTACTTCTAGATCCCAGTGTGGGGCACTACTGGGGTAATTCAAATGGATCCTTTGCAGCGCCCTGGACTTAACTAGGTGCAGCTGCATACAGAAGCGGATTACAATATATTGGGCCCCGCACTGTGGCCCCCCCCCCTGCTCCTTCCCTTCCCCCAAGGCCCCTGCCCTCTGGTCTGGCCAGAAGCTGGGCCACGGTAAGAACTGCCCAGGGAGCCTGGGCCACCCTGGGGAGCCCTGGACCCTCCACCTGCCCTGGGCGGAATGCACTGTGGCACATGCACTGGGCGGCATGCACTGGGGGGAAGGGACAAGGGCTAGGGGCTGCTGTCAGGCACTCTGGCCCCCTGCCCAAGGCAGGTGCAGCCAGGGTCCGGGGCTCCCCACAGCTGCCTGGACTCCCTGGGTAGCTCTTACCACAGCCTAGGGCAAGGGTCCCCAAACTGTGGGGCCGCCCCACTAGGGGGGCATGGAGGAACGTTTGGGGGGGCGCGGCAGGGCCCAGCCCTACTCCCAGCTCTGCTCTCACCCCACCCCAGCCTTGCCCCAGCTGTGACTCTGTTCCTAGCCGCATCCCCACTCACAGCCCCTGACTGTGGGCCCCGGCCCCACTCCTGCCCTGGCTCAGGGGGAGGAGGGGGGGTGAGCGCAACTGAAAAAGTTCGGGGACCCTGGCCTAGGATGACCAGACGTCCCATTTTGACCCCAGTCGTCCCAACCTTTTTAGCAAAACCAGGCATTTGTCCTATTTGCTCTTGCCAACTGATCACTAGCTGGCAAGATCAAATGGAACAAATGCCCACTTTTGCCAAAAAGGAGCTTGGAGGGAGGGTGTGTGGCAGGGCTTGGGGGGGGGGTGAGCAGTGAGCTCGAGTCAGCCCAGCGAGGGGGAAGGTGGGGGGTTTCATTGCATGGTTTGGGCCAGCCCCGCAAGGGGGAGGGGAGAGGGCCAGCTCTGTACAGGGGGAGAGGGAAGAGGGGGAGCTCAGCGCCACACAGGAGAGGGGGAAAGGGACAGGAGAGGGGCTCAGAGCACCTCCATGCCGAGGAGGGGGAGAGGAAGGGGAAAGGGGCTGAAAGCAGCTCCACGCTGGGGAGGGAGGGGAAAGGGAGAGGGGCTTGCGTGAGCTCCATGCCGTGCAGTGTGGGGGGTAACAGGGCTCACTCCAGTCTCACACAGGGGGCCCCTCACTCCAGCGCCAGGCAGGGGGCTAGGGCCAGGTCTGCCTGGGGCAGGGGGAATTGCTCACCACCTCCACAGGTGTCTCTGGCTGGGCCGGAGGCGGAGCCTCAGGGGGAAGAGGAGCGGGAGGGGGATAGAGAAGGAGCAGGGGCCGCAGCTAGAGTTCTAGCTGCTCCTGTGGGGCCCCCAATTGGTCGGGGCCTCTGGGCACGCCCCCGCTGGCCCATACGGTAATCCGCCAGTGGCTGTGTATTGGGCCCTATGACTTTAAAGAGACAGGATCAGCTACACAGCACACAACACCAAACATAACCCAGAATGGCAAAGTGTAGTTCTCTGTCCCCCCTCTATCGACTGGGCCACAGAGATGTGTATTTGTCTGCTACAGCCGTTTAGCTCAGGCAATAAATAGAGGCTTGTAGTTTTAGATCCAGAGGTGCAAGTTCAGTCTCTGCTGCTGACCCTCGTGTACACAAACACGACTGGAATGTACAGTCATACAATTGTATGTGCATGTTCACAACGTTACACAACACAACGAATGAACAGGTTAGAATTACCCCCGTGCAGTGCTGTTTCAGTTAGCATGTTGGTGTGGCTTCAGAGAGTCCAGGGCTAGAAGGGACAACTATGATCATTTAGTCTGACCTCCTGCATAACACAGGCCAGAGAGTTTACCCAGAAATTCCTGCAGTCGGTCCAACAATTTGTGTTTGAACTAAACCGTATACGTTAGAAAAGCATCAAAGCCTTGATTTAAAGACAAGGTGTGGTAATTTAACCACTGGAACAGATTACCAAGAACTGTGGTAATTACCCTCCCTGATAGAACTGGTGGCATCTTATTGCAAGTTTCAACTTCTCTGACTTCAACTTCCAGCCAGTGGATCTTGTAACACCTTTGTCTGCTAGATTAAAAAGAGTCCTCTAGTAGCAGATATCTGCTCCCTATGTCGATAACTATAGCACCATGATCAACTCACCTCTTAACCTTCTCTGAGGTAAACTAAATGGATTGAGCCAAAGTTTCTCTTTGCGGGGTAGGCTGTCAGACCACACATCAGTCTTGTAGCTTTAACTCTCGCCAATTTTTCAGCATTCTTTTTGAAGCAGTTGAGTAGCACAATGGTAGTAACCTAATGCTTGGAGATCGGTATTGTGTTGAGAATGAATGTTCCTTTAACTTACGTGTTTCGTGCTTTCTAATGTTTGTGTTTCATGCACTTGCGCAACCCTAATTCACGAGGGGTTTTTACATAGGACTGTCATAGTTTTAAAAAATAAAAACAGAAGTAAATGTGAGGGCTGAGGCCCGAGGGCTGTGTTGTTTACTTAAAACTTTGCATCCTCAGAAGACAAACTTTAGCTGATGTTCCAGCTTCCTCTGACACTCAAAGTTTTAACATTTGAAGGAAGAGCCATTTTATAAACCACATTTTATCTTGCAGTCTTTTTTCTGAATTAGGAGATAAGGGACAGCCAACAATACAAACATATTGTCATTTTAAGTTGTAAATGCATTCCAAATCCACACTTAAGATGTAATTATCCCCGCATCACCCAGAAATGTGACTACAGTCTAGAGAAGTTTCTCAGAAGGGGCTTGTAGAATGGTGGATTAGATGTCTAAATAATGGGACTTCTGCTACCATTGCTGCTTTTATTGAATGTCTGTTATTGTGGAAATCCCTACACTTGTGGCAGGGTTGACAAAGAGAACTTACAGTTAAAGCTGAAATAAAGCTGTCCATCAGATAGTAGTCAGCTCCATCGTGCCCCATTAAATGGCTTGGAATGAATGCGGATTTGTTTGTTGGATAAGCAGTTTTCTCTCTTGTGCAAAAGTCAAAAACTTGCACTGGTCCCCCCCCAGCACAGAATAGTTCTCCCTAGAAGTCCAAAGTAAAGCACAAAACACACCTTACTAAACACATCACTACGAATCTTTGACAGTGTTTCTAGTGTGTCTAAAACATGTCTACATTGCCCACAGCGCGGCCGCACTGCAACATGGGCAGTGTAGACACACCCTAAATGTAATGTCCACAATGAGTTTCTATCACAATTAAAATGTATTAAAATCTCTAAACAAGATATTAAGACCACTCCTAGAAAAGTTACGTTGTATGTTTTTAATATTTTTCATTATGGACAGCATCTACCCGGTATTAAAATAACGACTAGCTTAATCAGCAGGAGGGTCAAAAATGCACGACAGAGCTATTGCACTTGTTTATTTGCTGGCCACTGACCTCCAGTTTGACAAAGGCCTCATATGGTCACAGGCCTCTAAAATGTGTCTCAAAAGTCAGCATAAAACACCAGGAAATACTATATGGTAAAATAGTTTTTAAGGGGCAGTTAGCAGACATAGCATTGAATTACTAGACCATAGTTGTTTGCGTAACAGAGGTGTCCAATAAACTAGTGCAGCAACACAGATGAAAACTATTGCACTCAGCAAGACTTTTCCCCGTAACAACACTTGGTTAGCAGTTACACACATAGTATGCTGAAGTGTTAGTGTTTATAGCAAGATACTAATTCAAAAATCGCTAAGGCCCATAATCCGGGCATGTCCCCCTTTTTTCACTCACACATCCAGGCCATGTCCAAGCCGTGCTGCTTCTACTTACCTTGTTCTACATCTCTACCTTTCCAAATGACTAGAGCTTTTGTTCAGAATCTCTCTACTCTGAATACAGGCCCTCAGTATCTCTGTCTCTCTGGCCTTTAATGGGAATGAGGTAGTGTCCCCATAACTAAGGCCCTAAGAAAATAACAGACTTTTTCTTTTCTTTTTTAAATTCACGGTAGCATCCCAGGTAAATATTTGCATTTCATGGGACACGCATGGCCGCTGATCACCCCTGAACTGCTGTGATTTTTCCAACAGTGGCAAGGCAGAAGCAGGGTTAGCGGGTCAGTCCCATCCCAGGCTGTGGTAGGAGGTGAAGGGCTGGTCCTATCCCAGGGACTGTTGGTGTTTTACCACATGGTGCTGGCCAGCCCGACCCAGGTCAGCGATTGGGATCCAGCTAGCTCCATGCTCAGCTCCAGCAACTGCTGCTGCTTCCTGTCTGTCCAGTGCGGAGAAGGGGGCAGCACTGACAACACCACGATTAAGCTCCCTGGCCTGGTCCGCCCCATTGCGACCTCCGGCAGCCCAAGAGGAGACAACACAGCACCAGCTGGTGGGGAGCTGAGGCCAGCCTGATCCTCTTGCCAAGGCGTGGCCTTCCTCACACTCCGATCACCCTGCAGGGGAAAGGGCTACCTCACGCCCCGATCTCTCCATCAGGGTAAGGCCTCCTCACACAGCTGTTCATATTACAAGTGGCTGCAGTGCTAGACATTGTGCTGGCTACGGTGGGGGGATGGATCCTGGTCTCGGCTCCTGCGCTGTCTCCCCCAAGGCTGCCAGGGGCTGCTCTGGGATGGGCCGCTCCTAATTGCTGAATTGTCAGAGCTGCCTCTCTCTGCCTGCTGGCCAGACAGGAAACAGCACCGGCAGCCTGAGCCAGATCTCAGTGCGGCGTGAGCTAGCCCCCGATTCCTGCCCCTGGACCATCTAGTGTGGTCAGACATTCCCCGCACTGCCCTCACCATCTTCCTGCCCCCCTCCTGAATGGGACCAGCCTACTAACCACCCCCCCACCCCAATGAGCAACCTCAGCAGGGAGGTGGGAGCAGGGATGCCCACTTCCACCTCCCTGCTGTTGGAAAGGGCTAATTCCATGATTTCCATGGAGTCCATGAAATTGTGATTTACCAAGGGCCTTACCCATAATATCCTTATAATAGGCCTTATCCACAACTCTCATTGATTTCAGTGGGAACAAGATTGTGCCCAGTAACTAGTAATGGTGAATCGTGTGGCAATCACCCATTCATTTACCTTGGTCCCATAGATTGTGGTTTTCCTTGTACCCAGCCGCTCCGTAAAGGCCATCATAGTAAAAGCAGCTGTTGCTCCTCCTTCAAACTCCATATTAACAACCTGGAAAGAGTAAAGAAGGTAAGAAGTGCTGAGAGGAGTCCAGCAAGAGTGGGTGAAGGGGTATTTCCTCTCATCTATCCTATAACTAGGAGTTACAAAGTAGACAGCACACACATCTGAAAGAGGAAATTAACAGAAGTTACATATCTCGCACATGAGGCAAGCTTTAAACTCCATGAGTTGTGTGCTGTGAGCATTTCTACTAGAGCAGCACAGAATTCACGTGTTGTACGCGCGCTATTTGTCAGAGAGTTTGACTTTGTTTTATCCTGTGCTGCACACAAGATACTTTTCAACAGTTTACTTTTTGCAGCAGGACTCCTGGCAGATTCACACCGTCTCAGAGCGGTGCTACTAGAGCTATGCTTATGGAAGCACTTCCAAAGGACTAGAGCTTACACACAAAAGTTTTCTCAAGGGCCAAGCTTTCCTTACAAAATCTCAAACAGGGAAAACTTTAACCAAATAAAACAACTTAACTGGTTTATTTTAAGACATACAAACTGAAGTGTACTGGTTTCATACTCCGAACTAATTTCTACAATTTTTAAAAATGTAAATAAATAAATAAACGTTTACATGCACTAGCTAGATGAACAAAAAATATCATACCTGGTTACTGACAACATCATTGTCACATTCATAAACACATCTTCCATATGGACCGCTGCGCAGGGCCTCTGTCACAGCTTCTATGTCACAAACACCACTATTGCACACAACAGATACTGGCCAATTAAAATAACCCTACAAAAAATAACAACAACGTTACTTATACAAGACATACTGTATTCTTATCTCAAACTTGCCTCTCATCTTGGACCAAATTCTCATTATATGTACAGAAATCAGAACCATTTGCTACAGCTGGGTCACAAAACTGTTCCTGTAGGTAAACAACATGAACTCTCAGCGTGATGCTGTGGCAAGAGAGTTAGCATGATCCACTGAGGTATAAACGGGAGTTTCAAGTAGGAGTCCAGAGGTGGTATTATCTCTGTGTACGTCGGGTCCACTTCTGGGGTCTGCACTTTAAAAATTATGTTAACAAATTGGAAAGAGCTCAGAAGAGAGCTACAGGAGTGACTCTAGGTCAGTAGGCGACTTGATCAGTCTAATTTCCTATGTGAAGAGAAGATTTCTGATAGTTGGGGGGTTTCTAGGTGACAAAGGCATAAAAAGATCCTATGTCTGGGTGCAGAAACCAGACAAATTAAGATGGGAAATAAAATCATATTTTTTAAACGAAAAGGGTAATTAGCTATTGGAACAACTTACCTAGGTAGGTGGTGGATTCACCTTGAAATCTTTAAATCAAAACTGGAATTCTTTCTAACAGATATGCTATAGCTAGGGCTCCGTGTCTGTCTGTCTGTCCACCCGTGTCTGACTTCTGCAGCGGCCAGTGTGGCTGAGTCCAGGGCTCCCTCCCTGCAGCTGGTACTGGGGGCCCCTGGGGCACCCCCCGACCTCCAAGATTCAGTCAGGGTTATTTGTGGTACAAGTCATGGACAGGTCATGGGCCGTGATATTTTGTTTCTTGCCCGTGACCTGTCCATGACTTTGACTAGAAATACCCGTGATTAAATCGTAGCCTTAGCTATAGCTCAGCTGAGAAGGTCTGAGCTTGAGGAAGGTGAAATTCCATGGCCTGTGGTATGAAAAAGATCAGTCCAGATGATCATGATGGTCCTTTCCAGCCTTGAAAAGTCTTATGAATTCTTGCTATCCCTGGGATTCTCCACTGGCCTCCTCAGGTCACCCCCGAATCACAGCCAGCATCAGTGCAGGTGCTGTTCCTATGCCTCCACTTTACACTGGCAGGCTACCTGAGAGCAGGCAGCGGCAGGACTCCAGGCTGCTTTATTGTAGCTTGCAGCTGGAAAGAGTGCTTGCCCAGTGACAATGGCAAAGAATCAAAGAGTTGTTTCTTTTAACAATGAACAAGTAACTTTTAGAACAAGGAGAAAAATACCACCCCACAAGCGTCTCTTTCTCTGCTTCACTGTAGAGCTTCTGCCTCCAACCTCCCGCAATCATCTCCCAGTTGGCTTCTTGCTACTGATTTAAAGAAACAGCACGGATATCCTCACGGTGTCCGCAGTGGCAAAATGTCCTGCTGGATTTGGAGTTCAGCACTTCTGGAGTGGGCAAACCAGGCACAACTTTGCTCAGGTCATGCCCCTGCCTCACTGCACACTGACACTAACGGCAGTCAGTATTGTCTGCAGCTTCCTCCAGCAACGTGAACGTACAGTTACAGAGATACTCGACCCTTTTCTCCCTGACACTAGTGTGCACTGGGTCAGTCACTTGTGTCTGCTTATGGACCCAACTGTGACACTACGCCCCATATTCTTCATAAAAATATTGTTATAATATGACTTTGGCATAACTAAGATGTGGCTTATGCAAGATGGGTCATGTGAGATATCATTGGGAAGGTTCTGATTTACTGAATATGATTATCCTATTTGTATACATGTATCATTTCTGTACCTGAAGTTAGGAATATTGACTATGTAACAATTACAAGTGGGTTTGAACCTGGGGAATGCCCACCAGACAAAATGCAATCAGTCTGGCTGGCTAGTCAATGGCCCATTAGGAAGAACAATAGGACTTTGAAGATGCTAATCCCCCAACTTCCTAGGAAGTCTTCCTGAGTATTTATGACTGCTTTGACACTGCAGGGTCATGTGATCATGTCACCTGGTACTGGACTCCATCTTGGACTGCTAGTGTTTCTCCACTAGTAAAGGGGGCGGATCAAACTAGGAAACAAAGGATTCCCGCCATATGTAAATCCTAGTTAAGGCTGGGAAGTGAGTCAATCAGGGTCAGTTCTTCATGGAATCCCTGCCCGAGATGACTGCTGAAAACACCCAAGACTGATCTGGGGAAGAAAGGACTGGTCTCAGGCTAGAAGGTGTCTGGCCTGTGAAAGGAATAACTGGAGTTCTAAGTTGCAAGCAAGAGCAGTTTGTCTTCAAGAAACTCTGCAACCTGCTTAAAACAACATTTAGGGTGAGAAATTACTACTTGTAGCCAGTTTCTTTAGAGTATTAAGCTTAGTTTATGTGTTTATTTGCTCAGTAATCTGCTTTGCTCTGTTTCCTATCCCTTATAATCACTTAAAATCTATCCTTTGTAGTTAATAAACTTGTTTTTGTTTTGCAGTTTGTGCAATTCATAATGGGGGGGGAGCTGTGCATATCTTCCTCCACATTGAGGGAGGGGGTGATATTCCTGAGCTTATGCTGTACAGTTCTCCGTGCAGCACCAGACGATACAGTTTGGGGTTTACATCCCAGAGGCGGTGTGCACTTGAATGCTGGGCAATCCCCAAGCTGATTCTTCCCAGGCAGAGCTGATTTCAGTGTCTGTGTCTTTCTGCAGGTGGGTGGTCCCTACCTGTGTGTGTGCTAAAGGAGGCTTGAGGGCCTGGCTCAGCAGGACAGGGTGAGGGAGCCCAGGCTGGTGGAACGGGCGGGCTCAGGGGGACCCCAGTACATCAGGTGGCACCAGGGCCGGATTAACCCATAAGCTAATAAGGCTAAAGCCTTAGGCCCTCCTATTTTTAGGCCCCACTGTAGGCCCTCCATTCCATATTGAGCGATGGTAGCGGGGCCATGTGAATTTTTTTGTCTCATTAGATATTGCTTTGTACAAATTAATCCATCAAGATTGTGAATTCAATTTATGGTGGTTGTGATTTTGTCATTGTGGGCTAAGTAAGTGTTTGTGGGCCCAAGCAATATTGAACTTTGTACACAGTAGGCCTACACTGGACAATGGAAACCATGTAGAGAAAAGGAGGATGGCAGAAATTGAAGGAGGCCCAAGAAAGACGGCAAAGACAAGATGCAGTGCTGATAGGAACTCCTTCTCTCCTAACGTTTTTTCCTCCTGCTAAGTCTGGTAGTGAGGAAGTCCAGGCGATACCAGCCCAAGTGAACCCGCTGCGCCTGCGCCTGATGGAAAAGAGCAGCCTCCCGTGACTTCTCTAGCTGCAGTCTCACCCCACCCCTCTGAACACTTTCCCAGTGATAGTAATAGAAACATTTCCTTCTCCAGCGATCCAGGCGAGTGGGACGTGACTTCTCAAGAGCTCATTACATATTGGACTGAGAAGGGCCCACAGAAATGCCAGGATCTAGATGCTGACTTTTCATTGACAAAGCGAGAGTACACCAATCAGAATCGTTATCTGATCAAATCAATGTTTGAATATGTGAAGCCTAACGAACAGATTGGCAAGCAAGAATGGCTCATCTATTCACCTTCTAAGAGAAAGTGTACTGTTTTATTGCTGCCTGTTTTCTGATACCAAAAAGCAGGGAATGTTCTGTGAAGGCTTCAGTGATTGGAAGAATACTGCATACATTACCAATCATGCAATGAGTGAGCAGATACATTGTCAGTTAGCAGCAACCATGCCCGAAAGAAAGTTAATGGCAGAATTGATACCCAGATGGAAAACCAGTTTTGGAAGCTCATGCTTATTGGAAGAACATTCTCAGGCAAGTAGTGGAAACCATAGGTTTTTTTGCTGAGCGTGGTCTGCCATTCCATGGCTCAGATGAGACTGTTGGATTGAAACACAATGGCAATTATCTTGGTGTTCTAGAGCTAATCGTTAAGTTCGACCCTTTCTTAGCTCAGCACATCAATGAACACGCAAATCGTGGAAAAGGCCATACATCATATCTATCAAAGACTATTTGTGATGAATTCATTGCACTGCTGGTGAAGAAGATGCTATCAGCCATTGTAGATGAGATCAAAGATGTGGGATATTTTTCAGTGTCCGTCGACTCAACACCGGATGTGTCACATGTAGATCAGCTGACTGTCATCTTGCGTTATGTGCTACCAGCAGACCAGCTGAATGTTTCATGACCTTCATAAACATCACCAGCCACACAGGGGAGAAACCTGCCTCGTACCCACTCGATTTCCTCACTGAAAATGGGATTGATATCAGCCTTTGTCATGGACAAAGCTCTAACAATTCAAGTAATATGAATGGCAAATATTCAGTGATGCAGGCAAAGATAAAAGAGCGCAATGCTTTGGTGGATTCCATACAATGTGCTGTACACTCACTCAACCTTGTTGGCCAGTCTGCCGTCGATTATTGTGTTGAAGCAGTTTCTTTCTTTGGATTTGTCCAAGAATTCTACAATTTTTTCTCTGCATCAGCCAGTCATTGGATGATTCTTAGAGATTCACTACCAGAGGGATGCCCAGTGCCCAAATCACTCTCAGGGACACAGTGGAGTGCCAATGCTGAAGCTGTGAATGCAGTTGTTCTGGGATACCCCAACATCCTTGAAGCGCTAGAGAGAACCAAGGATGATGAATCTCAAAAATCAGCAACAAGAAAAGATGCGAAGATCCTGAAGGATGTAATGCGCACTTTGGAAACTGGTATTTTGTGTGAGGGCTGTAATGATGTACTTCAGCCATTCACCAAGTGCAGTCTAAGCTTGCAAAGTGCTCAAATTGACCTTTCCAGTGCTGTAAACCTAATGAGGAGTCTTGGAACTGTTCATCAGGAAATGTGGGATAGTTTTGATGACTATGAAATTCAGGGGGCTGCAAGGACTGCTAACCATGAGCATAAGTCAGCCAAACGCCGCAAAAGACAGAAGACATGTGATGATGCAACTGCCCACTCATTCAGTGACAAGGAGGCCTTCACAGTTAATACCTTCATTACAATCATCGACAAACTGAAGTGTGCATTAGAACATCGGCTCAAGGCTTACGAAAATATTGACAAAACCTTTAGAGTACTGGCAAATTTTTCGCCTAACATTTCAAGTTCCAAACTCAGTGAAGGTATCAAATGTCTGTGTCAGAAGTACCCAAATGATCTCCTGGTAGATTTTACTAAAGAATTTCTTCAATTTGCTGAATTCACATCACTCTCAGATATAGAGAGAAAAGATGACAAAAGCAAATCTATTTGGATGTACCGAGTTATCACTGAATCCAGTGACAGAAAGTTTCCCAAATGTTGAAAGTGCATTACGGCTGCATTTGTCACTAACGATCACTAACTGTAGTGGAGAACATTCCTTCTGTCTTCTAACAAGGGTCAAAAATGTCCTCGATCCACCATGACTCAAGAGCATCTCAGTGCTTTGTCCCTCTTGAGCACTGAGAATGAAATCCTCAGGTCTTTGAATTACGGTGATATCATTCATGACTTTGCCAAAGCTAAAGCTAGGGAAAAAATGTGTTTGAAGAATTGGGTGTAGTGAGAATAGAATAAACTTGTTAATTTTACATAAACAACTATGTAAATATGTATGTAGATAAATGTTTGATGACCTCATATTGTTTTTGCAATATGTAATTCATACTTAGGCCCTTCCCTCCCATTAGCCTTAGGCCCCTCATAACCTTAATCTGGCCCTGGGTGGGGGGGGCAACCCCATCACACCAATTCCTCACTTTCATATTTCTATGTCCTTGAAAAGAGACATGCATCCGACGAGGTGGGCATTCACCCACGGAAGCTCATGCTCCAATACATCTGTTAGTCTTAAAGGTGCCACAGGACTCTCTGTTGCGTTTAATATAGTGTCTGCCACCACTCTAAGAGCCTCCTATGAGTTTAATCTAGTCCTGCTGAGTTACATATGTTTACAGAAGCGAAGTATTCTCTTATCTGCTTCCTAATCATGCTGTTTCCCAATTTTCTAAGATCCTCAACAATGTAAATTAATCTCCAGCTTCCTTTTTGTTGAAGGCTAAAATCTAATGGTTGAGTATTTCAGCCTTCTCCATCTTCCAACAGCTCGGAGTTGAAGCTAGGCAAATTCCGACTAGAAATAAGGTGCAATTTTTTTTAACAGTGAAGGTAATCACTGTAATAATGTACAAAGGGTTGTGGTGGATTCTCCATCACTACAAATTTTTAATCAAGATTGGATGTTTTGATAAAGGATTTACTCTAGTTCAACAACAGCTACTGGACTTGAAGCAGAAATTAATTCAGGCAAGTCCTATGCCCGTGTTATGAGTCAGACGAGATGATCACAATGGCCCATCTGGCCTTAAAATCTATTACTGAAGCTCCCTCCTAGCTTTTCTTTAATTTTTGATCCCATTTATTTATAAAACCTTTTAAAATTCACTTTTATACGAAGTTGGAGTCAGAAAGAAATCATCTCCTTCCCATGTTGAACACTGAACAAACAGCTTAGGTATGTTTTGGCTTCTTGTTTCTTCCAAAATATCAAGTGTTGGCTACCAGAAGCAAGATATCATCCTTGATGACTCAGTGTTTTGATGTTATACAGTAATTTTTATGTTCCAAGTGTGATGGTACCTCCCATAAGGCTTTATGAAAATATGCATATGAATGTATATATATAACATAACTAGAATGTGTTTTATACTACATATGCCATGTAACATCTTTGTAAAGGTTATGATCTATTGAATCTATTAATCCTATTTGTATGCATGTATCACTTTTGTATTCAAAGTTATGAATATTGGCTGCCTACTTGTTTGATTCTAAGTAGGCTGTAGTGAAGCAGTTAGTCAGTTCCTGAGAAAAGACTCATCTCAGTAAGTGCCCAATCCGGAAACACTTAAGCCAACAATGAACTTGGAGGCACCAATACACATCTGGGCTTTCCCAGGAATGTGGCTTGGCTGGTAAGGAACTCAGTCATGCAGGGATATGTGACTTGCCCAGGTGACTCCAAAACTCCATCTTGGAGCTGGACTTTGCATAGGAGAGAAGAGGCGGTCTCCACACACAAAAAGAAAGTCTATTTAAGCCCGTGGGAGACCCCTCCATTTTATCTTCAGCTGGCTAAAGAGAGAGCCTCTCCTCCCCCCAGGATACTTGAAAGAAACTGGAACAAAGGACAGTGTACAGGGGGTGTGAGTGATTTCTGGACCCAGGCTAAAAGGAGATTAGTCTGTAAAAGGGAGCATTCTGGAACTGGTGAGGATCTTATCTGTATTCATTTTCATGTTTTAGTTTATTTTGCTTGGTGACTTACTTTGTTCTGTCTGTTACTACTTGGAACCACCTAAATCCTACTTTCTATATTTAATAAAATCACTGTTTACTTATTAATTAACTCAGAGTATGTATTAAAACCTGGGGGAGCAAACAGCTGCGCATATCTCTCTATCAGTGTTATAGAGGGCAAACAATGTATGAGTTTACCCTGCATAAGCTTTATAGAGGGTAAAACGGATTTATTTGGGTTTAGACCCCATTGGGAGTTGGGCACCTGAGTGTTAAAGATAAGAACACTTCTGTTAGCTGCTTTCAGTAAAGCCTGCAGCTTTGGGGAAAGTAATTCAGACCCTGGGTCTGTGTTGGAGCAGGTGGGTGTGTCTGGCTCAGCAAGACAGGGTGCTGGGGTCCTGAGCTGACAGGGAAAGCAGGGGTAGAAGTAGTCTGGGCACATCAGGTGGCAGCTCCCAAGGGGGGTTTCTGTGATCCAACCCGTCACACCAAGATCTTATGAAACCCAAAGATGAGTTCCTTTTGCTTGGAAACTGAACACATTTTGAGATCAATGTAGTCAATATTTGGAAGATATGTTGCTTGAAAACAGTACTGTTCTCACCTTCTCTGCACGTTGCAGATAAATCTTCTTGGCTGAATATGGACAGGTTTGTTCAACTGAACAGTCTAAGCACCGACTGGCAGCTCCTTTGGGCTAAAACAAATTTACAATGGTTCATTATTTACAGTTTATTATTTATTAATTTTACTCATCTATTTTCATCCACAGAAAGACACTTCTTGCAATATTAGGAAGATTTGGCCCAAACACATTTTAACAGAGACAAGTCCAACCAGATCCCCCTGTTCTTCCAGTAACCTTCCTCTTTCCTCATGGTAAGGAGGCAACACAGTCCCGTGTTTGGCACACAAGACCTCCTTCCGAACACCACCTCTTACACTGACTCAATGTGTGATTTTGAACTAGACACAGCCAGGTTCTCAGTTTTCAATCTGTAAAGTAGTCATGAAACTACTTACTGCTTAAAGTTAGTCACCTGCTTAAGTGCTTTGCTGATTCGGGGCCAAAATAGGGATAATATTACTAACCTAATACTGTGTTGTGAGGCGTATAACTAATAAATGTAAGGTGATTTGATATCCTTGGAGGAAAGACACTATACAAGTACTTACTACGGTAAAAGCTGTTTTATCCAGCATGTTGGGGGAATGGAGGGTGCCGGTAAGTGAAAAATGCCGGTTAACTAAGAGAGGGGGAGCTTGGGTGTGTGTGTGGGGGTGCAGGGCTGGGGATTGGGGTGCAGGAGGGGATGAGGGGCACAGGCTCTGGGAGGGACTTTGGGTGCAGGAGGGGGCTCAGGGTGCCAGATCTGGGGGGCGCTTACCTCAGGTGGCTCTCTGCAAGCACCAACCTGTCCCAGCTGCTCCTAGGCAGAGATGCAGCAGGCAGCTCTGCGCACTGCCCTCACCCTGCCCCGAGCGCTGGCTCTGCAGCTCCCATTGGCCGGGAACCGCGTCCAATGGGAGCGGTGGGGACAGCGCATGTGGGCAGAGACAGTGTGCAGAGCCATCTGCCGCACCTCCGCCTAGGAGATGCCGGGACAGGTCACTGCTTGCGGGGAGCTGCCCGAGGTGAGAGGCCCCTGGATCTGACACCCCACACCCCTTCCCACGCCCTAAGCATCCTCCCGTGCCCAAATTCCCTCCGAGAGCCTGCGCTCTGCACGCCCTCCCGCACTCCACCCCCTGCCAGCCCCACGCCAACTGGATTATAAACCGGAATTTCAATGAAGATCAGAAATGCTGGTTTATAGCGCTTTCCGGCTGGTGAAGTGCCAGATAAAACAGTGTTTACTGTATTATTAATACAATCATGTTAGCACTGGTCATTGTTAATATGCACCCTACAGTATCCTGCAAATAAGGATATTCAGCTCTGTGAGTGACTGGCAGTTTGAACAAGTCACATAACTTCTTTGCACCGCCGTTTTCACATTTCTAAAAGAGAGGGATTGTTGGGAGGCTTGATTTCATAATATTTATAAAGTAGCTATGAAGATGTGAAGTGCTACCTATTATTTCTCCATTAGGAATAAAGGTATCTACATAAATCATTTAAAAACACAGGTTGTTCAAATGAAACTCCTACAAATTACGACTGACACCAGCTGCTGCAGAAGTCATGGAGGCCACGGAAAGTCCCGGAATCCGTGACATCCCTGACCTCGGTGACAGACTCGCAGCCTTACTCATCATCTCCCAAGAAAACGTGGTTTACAGCCATCCAGTTGAGCCTGCAGTGCAAAGGCTGCAGCTAGCCCTCTGCCACCAGGGAGCGAGAGAAGCATATGCCAACAGTACTAAGTAAGATGCTCAGGCAGCAAGTAATTGGTAGTTAAAGTTGGAAAACAATTTTAATTTTACCCCATTTTCACAGTCTTCCAAGAATTCACCTTTGGGGTTGAAACCTTTGATCTCTGCCCAAAAATGATTTTTTTGAAGTCTGAGCAAATCTTCTCCCTCATTTTAAGGTATGGGACAGCAGAAAAAATTATGCAAAATATTCATTGTACATAATTAAATCTACACATTCCTGAAGATACAGCAGAAGTGACCAGGGAGTAAAACTTTGAAGTTAAAATGGACATACAGTAGCACTGTGTTTGGTTTGAGGGCAAAAAGAAAGTTAAAATTATTTCTGAATTGGCGTCATTGGCATTTGGTGCCTAAAGCACTTAGGCTCTTTTAAAAATCCCAGCCTCAGGCTACGTCTGCACTACAGAGCCTATGATAGCATAGGTTTATGCCTTAGTGTAGATGCAGCGTATGACACTATACGGAGTTTTTCTGTCACTAAAGGAACACCCCCCCCTTGAACGATGTTAGCTATGCTGACAGAAGAACTCTTGGCATAGCTGTGTTTGCACTGGGAGTTTTATCGGCAGAGCTTATGTTGCTAGGGGGTGTGGGTTTTTACATCTTAACCCGCATCACTATGCTGACAAAACTTTGTGGTGTAGACCTGGCATAATATTTTTGTTAGAGTCAACGTTTTTTTACCACCACAATCCATAATCTCACTGCCCCAGCCTTACAGGCACATGGGAAGCTGGTCTCAGACTGCTGAGATTACAATTTCTATGAATGGAGTAGGTGCCCAGCCCGGTCCCATCACCCAAAACACCATCACAATAAAAACAACATGTAGGTGCTCTTTTAAGGGAGCCATGCAAAAAACTGTCATCAGCCAATTAAAGAAGCAGCAAAAATGTGAACCCAACAACAATTGCCTCAGCAAGGTGTGACCATCAAGGTCTAACTGGGACAATTTAAATGCTAACACTTTAAATACAGGCATTTTCCCCATCCCCCGCTTAAAAAACAAAGAAAAAGAAAGTAAGTGCAAATGGCTAAGTTAATGAAACACTGAGGTTGCACAATTATCATTACAAAAAGTCAAGATCTGGAAAATGCGAAGGCTCCACCAGCCACAAGAATTCAGCCTCATTGCTCATGTATGATGTACTAATATCTATTCCTATTCGTCTGGTTAAACATGTAACTCAACAATGGTGTTTAGATACCCACAATTATAGGTACCTTAGAAATGCCCAATGTTGATATTACCCACACCTCAGATTCATATTACAGTTTAAGTAACAATATGTATACTAAAAGACACAGAATTTATAAGATGCCTAAATTAATGTTGCTGGTGGATCCTTAAATTATTTTACTGTTTATTATTTGTATTGTGGTAGTGCCCAAAATCTGCTAAAACACGTTTCAAGCCCCAAAGAGTTTATACTTTGCAAACAAACTGAACATATGCAGTCTAGAGGAAAGGGTTACACTACACAAGAAAAGTAATCTGGATGATGGCAGGCACATCTTGTTAGCTTCATATTGGGTTTAGGTTTTTTTTGGTTGGTTGATTTTTGAATGTAAGTGTATTCGTGTTTTGTAAGCAAAGCTGCAACAGTAGTTTTTAGGTTCTGCATTTCCTTTTTGGTGAATCGAAACAGACAACCAGACTGTTACATTTACATAGCCTTTGCATTTTTATAAACTGATCATGACATGAAGCATGATTGTTAGGAATGAACACCTATGCGGACAAACTCTTTTGTCCTGAGTATTTTTTAAAACAAATTCAGATTATTTAGCTGAATATTTATTCTCTTAAAAGTTACCTTACAATTAATAGATGTTTTAAATTAACATTAGAAAGTCAATAGTTTTTCCATTTAAAAAAAAATTCAAGGTCCCAAACTGTGAATCTGAATATTCTACAAACTGTGGGTCCAAACTGGTAAAAATGTACGCGCATGAGTAATTTTACTCACGTGAGTAGTCCTATTGACACAAATTAAAATCCAGATCTAAAGTAGAGGTAGATACTGAAAATGGCTTGGAACAATTTTATAGCATGGAAGGTGCTAAAGGGAATGGAAGGCACAATGGGAAAGCCAGGATGAGCTAGCTAAGTGTGTCTTTAGAAGGAATGCATACTATACTGAGATTAAAAAAAAATTTAAATAAACAGCATAAGCAATTTCTGCTTGGGCTATTTCATTTTAGGCTCTCTATACTACGGAGTTATTTCACTAGAGCTTCAGGGCCTTGGCTACTGTAAAAATAGGCTTCTGTTAACACAAAACAAGGAGTTTCCTGGAATGTTTATGTCATTTTCCCAATATATTTCAAAATGCATATTTTTAAGCAGGAAAACTATTGATAACCACAGGCATGTTTAAAATGGTCACATACTTCCTGGAAAGAAAATAAAATGGAGATTAAATGATAATATAGACCCCAATGTAGCAAAGAAGTGTGAACTTAATTTACAGCATGTGCTTATGTGACTTAAGCACATGCTTAAATGCTTTGCTGAAATAAGGCTAGAGACTTTGAGTATTCCTTCATACAGGTGTATTTATACAAACCTTATGCTCATTAGTAAAATGAGAAAGACTGCCAAAAGATGACACCTTTAAGCACCTGAAATAAAACAGACATTTTCATAAACAAACAAACATATCAACATAAAAAAGCGTAAAAATGCTCATTTTTTTAACCGTTCATTTTGGGCTTGATCCAACACACACCGAAGTCTACAGAAGTCTAACTAATTTCAATCCAACCTAGATCGGGCTTTTAGATATTCAAAGTCCTTCAACACCGATTAATTGATGGTTTTCTGTTGCACTAGTGGTGCAACTGTTTTCCCTAAGATTTTTCTCTGATGACATGTCTTAGTATTGGGAATAATTTTATTACTCAGGAAATCTCTAACTGAGCAGGGTCCTAGTCAACGGAATGATGTCAGAAGAGCTCTGATTTTTTTCTCTTGTCTCCAGTTTCTGTTATAAGAATTTACAAACAATAACTGTCTGGGCTGCCTTCAAGGAACTGGAAAAAATATGTCTTTAATTCTATACTAAAAAAGTTATGGGACTAAAATGGGTCCGAGAATACAAATACAACATCTCTATGTTTATACTTTTAAGTCAAGGATCACAATTTCTTTATGACCTCTAGTCCAGGATCAGTGCTGGATAATATTTACTGGTCCTGAAAGTGTTAGCATTGGTCCCATTGGATGTTCTGAGAGGTGAGGAGCTATCAAACAGTAAAAATCACATCCTTCTGATTCTCATCTTCTTTTCCTCCCTCACCCACTTCAGTTCTGGCATGATTTTTAGAAACTGATATTTCACAGACTGTTCGAGATTATGGACCAGTGAAGATAAATGACTTCAGCAGGAGCTGCACAACAGTAACGGAGACTATCTGAACATTTAAAAGATGTAATCCAACTTGGCTAATTCTAGTGGTTTTAGAGATAATGTTACAGAAATTAAGTATTTTACAAAAATAAAAGAGGGATAATAAAAATAAGATATTAAGGTCTGATATCTCAATCTGTCAGGATAGAAAAATAATGTATGTCACTGAGAAATGGAAATGCCTCGCTTTCCATAAGCTGACCTTCCAAGGAATATTTCTAGCCTTGAAGATTAGTAAAATTATCACACCTTGAAATTATCATTGTGACGTCCAACAAAGCACTTAAGTCCCATTTAAGCACATGTTTATGTTCTTTGCTGAACTGGGGCCCTTAAGCACTGGTTCAGAAGTAGACACAGCGAGTCCCAGACCCAGGGCCATTGTCATTCCAATTCCTCCATTTTTGAGGATTCCATCCTTTTCTGATAAAGACTAGTTTTACATCCAACTTGCAACTAACTCACCAGTGAAGCTATAATGGTTTAGTTAGCTAATTTGCCTAGGTTGGTGATTTTGGACAGACTGGAGAATTCAATTTAAAAAAAGAAATTATACCGTTCTTGGAATACTAAGTTTCAGGAGAGAAAGAATGACCTGTGGCTAAGGTACTAGTGTTGGACTCAGGAGATCTGGGCTGAGCTCCCAGCTCTGTCACACAGACTCACTGTGTGACCTTGGAAAAGTCACAGGCTTTGCCTCAGTTCAAAATCCATAAAATGGATATAAAAAAACCCTACCTCACAAGGGCATTGTAAGGGTAAATTCATTAATATTTGCAGTGCATTCGGATACTACAGTGATGGAGACATACATGTCCCGAGATAGATATTTTCCCCCACAATCTGATTACCGCCTTTGGTTTATTCTTCCTGCCAGGATGTAATAACAACTACAAGCATTTTCCTTTAAATAATGTGAACGCCAAGATTTAAATCAAGGTAATTTAATCTATCATTTTTTGTATCACTGCAGGAGATCTACATTTAGAAGAAGGTTCAGGCGTCTTGTTCTCTAGGAGGGTGAAGGTCAATGACACGCAGAGGGGAAAAGAGCTAACTGGGGCTAGGTTTACACTACAGAGTTTTGTCGGCACAGCTATGTCAGCAAACCTCCAGTGCAGATGCAGTGATACTGACAGAAGAACTCTTCTGTCAGTATCACTGTCGTTTGGAGGAGTGGTGCTACGGTGCCGACAGAAAGACTCCTTCTGTCATCATAAGCTGCATCTACACTGGCAAAACATCTGTAGCCTAGACACGGCCTTAGTCTCTCGGAAGGGGAAAGTTACATAAAACGTGTGTAACTATAGCACCCCTTATTTGTGTTTGCACATGGTTATTCTTAGAACAAATATGATAAAAAAGATGCTGTAAACCTTTTATCACCCATCCAAAAATTAATGAGGTCGATGTCATGGCAGGACTTGGCTAACAAAGAAAATGTACTTTCTGCTTCATTCCTCCAATTTCCTCTCACAAACGAGTGGGCAAAATGCCAGAATCCAACCTATGCTTACAAGAAATAAACAGTAATTAATGAAATGAATAGATACAAGTAATTTATAGTTTAAAACAATGAATCATCCCAAATCTGGAAGGAGAAGGGGCTTGACAGCTAAGAAGGTGCTAGATTGACAGGCTCACGGAGGTCTTATTACAAGGAACAGGTACAGCAAGAGAAGCAGTAGTGCATGCTTACCTCGCCCTATGCCCTACGAGTGCTTCTTACTCTGGACCTGGAAGGAGGAACTTTAGGGACTCAAGTGACCCTGGCTTTCAATCCCTGGCTTCCCTATGAGACTATCAAAGTTACCAATTAGTGCTAACCGCGGTTGTCTTCTATAATATGGACCCCCTGTTTACTAGAAACTTGAATGAAGATACCAAATTCATTTCAGCTAGAAAAACATCACCTTGGTGCATCCTCCAAAATCATGTTTGAAATTTGTATATTGCATAATCTTAACATACAGAAACACAAGTAAGGACCACTGATCCTGTAAATAATGCAGATTTCAACCACTTATATATATCAGATAGTTTGAAAATTATATTATTTTCAATTTTTTCTTAGTGAAAAGTTTGTGGTAAAAAGGGAAAATTTAGCAAAATACATTAAATGGTGTCAACAATATTTCCATCTGAAATGTCACACACATTTCACTAACTTCTTCATTATACTTCAGTGACAAAAATGGGCTATGTTTATCATACGGACTCCATTTTGTACTATGCGTTGAGGATATATCTAAACTTGCCCAAGGCAAGTACATATTGAATTGCTTCCAGACAGCTGGCCTGCCCAGGAAAGTTGCTTAACGCCTCATTGAAGAACTATTACCGAGAAGCCATCAAGATGGCAGTTTGGACCTATCAGACTTAAATGTCTCTCAACTGCTGGTCCATCCCCATGGAACAATGTTTTTTTCTACACAGTGGCCTGTGGGGAGGACAAGAATGACAGGGGAATGGGAGCTAGCACATTCCAGGTAAGCACAGAGCAGGAAGACAGAGACTAGTGCTACTCTAAGCAGGGGATCAAATATCACCAAACTCAAGGAGGATTTTCAGGAGAAAGAGGATAGGAGAGACTCTGCCCTGCCTATAATGCTGAAAAATTCCCCACTCCCAGAAGGGGTGAGATGGGGAGGCTCAGGACTTTTCTTGTTTTAAAAGATCTATAACTCTTGAATTCTTTCAAGAGTGAAGTTTCTGTGGTTAAGAAATTCCTTTGCTAGCCCTGTGTTCCTTGCTTTCCTTTGTCCGCACAGGGCTTAAACTAGAAGCCCAGAGCATCCACAGTGGAGTTCAGTGGGAGCATGAGTAAGCAACTGTGAGGCTCAGAAGGTCTCAGACACAGATTTTGAGGTCTAGGGCAGCAATGCCCCATGTCCCAAGGAAAGGCACAAAGAGGTCTAAGCCTTGGAGTGTGTCCTAAGGACCCAGAAATGGTGATGAGACTCTACCCAGACCCAACTGGCTTGGAAACACATGAGAGCCAGTATACGGATCCACTCAGACTGGTGTCCATACAAAGGGGTATTGGGCCAGACGGTAACAACTTATACTTCCTATAAACTCCAAAAATGGAGTTCCAGGAAACAAAACAAAAATCATAGTCCCTCCCAATCTGCTTAAGTATAAACAAACAATTTGGCATCTTCCTTGTGAATGATCCAATCCAGATTTGTTTGGCTAAGAATTTGTTGAATATCTAAAATCCTTTTCACTAAAAAAAGGAGGCTAATTTCCTGAGTGTTATTAATGTAAAAAGATCATAGGAAAATTCTGCTTTTCTAAACACCTGATTCCTGCCAGTTTATTAAAAATGCCTTAAACTGGGGACACAATTTATGTGACTTTAATTTTGCCGAGCGAGAGACCGGAGAATCTGCCACTGTATCCGGTGCCACCCCAAGGCTTGGACACGGTAGCTTCCTATACATGAAAAGTACATAGTGTCATTTATCCACTGTTCTTGGAAACTGACGTATTCCTCCTAAAAAGGAATAGTGAACAAAGACAATGTTTGTCTGCTTGGAATTTATAAGCCTCATTAGTTTCTTACATATTAAACCACAACTGACATGGTAGGGCAAAAAACATTACTGACATTTAAATCAAATTTAATTTCAAGGCTTGAATTTTTAAGTTTTCACTAACTTTAAACAGTGATGATCTGACAGTAAATTTCTTCTGACTGATATCAACTTTAGAAATAAAAATCCAACATTTTGCTGAAAAATTAAAAAACCACATTGGTAAGCACCTTTTCTCAGCACCTTTTCATAGCTCTGATTAGAAGTTACTACAAACTATTTCCAGATATTGCCCATTCCCGCTGATTCAACAGATGCTGTTGGTGTACAAACAAGGAGATACATGAGAAGGAGCTAGATTCATGTGGGGGAGAAGAGAATCAAATTTGCCAAATAAGATGGGACAAAATATGAGAGATTCTCCCTCGCCCACACACATATACTTTTAAAAATGGATCACAGTCAGCAGAAAGTTCAAAACAAAACATTTGTTTAGGGGTGCTTCTCATTACAACGGTCATGGACGTGCAGTCAGCAGTTCTCCAGTAAGTTACCCCCGAGTTTTGGCAACAAGAGGATTAAGCAATTTGTTTTCTAAAGCATTTAAAAAGGAATATTTCTAGTTGTTTTATGTTCACAATAGATGATTAATAAAGAATATAAAAAATACACAAGACTTAAAAAATAGTAAAATAAAAAAGTCTTTTGTCTCAAATCCTATTTAACTAATTAAATTTTGTAACAAAGAAGGAAAAGGAACAATAGTATTCAGCACTCAGCTGCATCTAGCACACTTGAGAAGAAACTTAGCATATATGCTAAGTGTTATTTACTACTAAGGCACTGATTAATAGGTATAACACAGCTCAGATAATACCATGACACACACACTTACGGGCTCCAGATGCTGTATGTGGCAGATGTCTCCAATTGCTCCAGCATCTAGTAGCTCCTATATTAACAGACAGCGAGGAAACATAACTCAGTTTGCTCTGCCTATCCAGATACACAAAGCCTCTTTCTGATACCACAAACGGACATGGCAAAACTTGCGAATTTATCGTGTGAGTCATGATTTCTGAGTAAAATTCAGTCTCACTCATGATCTAGCAATAGAACTCTCAAATGTCAGGATTTTTTCTGAGCCGCACAACATTCTTAAAATGGGTTTCTGGTCAAACAGGAGTTACCCCCCACAAACAAAAGAATGTGGTTTCGCACCTAGACAGTAACTTCCAAAGTACTTTGAAAGACAATAAGAATTCATGTACATATCAGATAAAAAACTGTTACTTACCTTTTCCTAACTGTTGTTCTTCAAGATGTGTTGTTCACGTCCATTCCACATTAGGTGTGCGTGCACCGCGTGCAGGAGCGTCAGAAACTTTTTCCCTTAGCGGCTCCCGGCGGGGCCCCCGCCAGAGTGGCGCCACTGCGCTGTGCATATATATCCCCACTGGCTCAACCCCCTCCAGTTCCTTCTTGCCGGCGACTCCAACAGAGGGGTAGGAGGGTGGGTGGTGGAATGGACGTGAACAACACATCTCGAAGAACAACAGTTAGGAAAAGGTAAGTAACCGTTTTTTCTTCTTCGAGTGCTTGTTCACATCCATTCCACATTCGGTGAATCACAAGCTTACCGTTGGAGGAGGGTAGGAGTCACGAAACAATTGATCGGAGGACCGCCCTGCCAACTGCCGCGTCCTCCCATGCCTGCTGGTTGACCGCGTAGTGGGTCATGAAGGTGTTCACCAATGACCAGGTGGCCGCCCTGCAGATTTTCTGGATCGGGACCTGTGCCAGGAAGGCCGCAGAAGCTGCCTGTGCTCTGGTCGAGTGGGCCATGATCACTGGAGCTGGGACATCTGCGAGGTCATAACACACCCAAATGCAGCTCGTGATCCACGACGAGATTTGCTGCGCCGACACCGGAAGGCCTCGCAACCTCTCAGCTACAGCCACGAACAGTTGCGTGGATTTACGAAAGGGCTTGGTCCAAGTAGAATGCCAGTGCTTGGCGGACATCTAGGGTGTGCAGGCTGCGGTGCCTCGGGTCCGCATGGGGTTTGGGAAAAAACACCGGCAGACAAATGTCCTGGCCCAGATGGAATTGTGAGACCACCTTTGGGAGGAACTTAGGATGTGGGCGGAGCTGCACCTTGTCTTTGTGAAACAGTGTATGGTGGCTCCGAGGTGAGAGTCCTCAGCTCAGATACCCTTCTGGCCAAGGTTACAGCCACCAGGAATGCCACCTTCCAGGAAAGGTGGAGAAGGGAGCAGGTAGCTAGGGGCTTGAACGGGGGCCCCATAAGCTTAGAAAAGACTAAGTTAAGATTCCATGGCGGGACTGGGGGGCATGTGTAAGGGAACACCCTTTCCAGACCTTTGAGGAATCGCCCCACCATTGCACCTTGAGCAGTACCTTGTGCACCAGAGGAAGCGGGGGAAAGGCGTATTTCAATTCCCTTCCCCGCGGGATCGCGAATGCGTCGGCTATTAAGCCCGGGCTGCAACCCTGGAACGAGCAGAATTGCGGGCACTGGGCATTGCCCTTGGTAGCAAACAGGTCCACCCGGGGAAACCCCCACTTTCAGAAGACTGAAAGCACGAGGTCTGCTCTGAGCATCCACTTGTGCATGCGGTAGGACCTGCTGAGGTGGTCCACCAGTTCGTTCCGCTCCCCCGGAAGATACACCGCCTCGAGGTGAATGGCATGGGCTATGCAAAAGTTCCAGAGGAGGAGAGCCGTGTGGCAGAGTGGGGAGGAACGGGCTCTGCCCTGCATGTTTATGTAAAACATGGCGGTCGTGTTGTCTGTCAGAACTATCACGCTGTGACCACTCAGAGAGGCGTGAAAGGTCTGGCATGCTAAACGAACCGCCCTGAGCTCCTTCATGTTGATATGGAGTGATCGCTCCGGCGCCGCCCACAAGCCCTGAGTCCTGAGGTCCCCCAGGTGAGCCCCACATCTGAGGTCTGACGTGTCTGTTACCAGCGTCAAGTCCGGCTGTTGTGCGGCAAAGGGGATGTTTTCGCAAACCACGGTCTGGGACCGCCACCACATCAAGGAGACCAGCCCAGCACATCCCCCGGGGCTGTCACTATCAAGTCTAGGGGGTCCCTGCCAGGGCGGTATACACGGGTGAGCCAAGCCTGCAGCGTCCTGAGTCTCAGTCTGGCATGCTTGACCATGTGTGCGCAAGCTGCCATGTGGCCTACCAGCCGCAGGGAACATCTGGCCGTTGTAGTGGGGAACTGGCACAGGAAGTTCACTGCTTGCTGGATGGCCAGGAATCGTGATTCCAGAAGGCTTGCCCTTGCCTGTACCGCGTCTAGAACCGCCCCTATGAAGTCCACTCTCTGCGCTGGAACGAGAGTGGACTTGGGAATGTTGACAAGGAGCCTCAGCTTGCGGAATAGACTCAAGGCCGTCTGCACGTCGGACCGAACCTCCTCTTCGGACCGACCCGCCAGGAGCCAGTCGTCGAGGTACGGGTAAAATCGAATCCTCTGCCTCTGTAAGAATGCCGCCATTACCGCCATGCATTTTGTGAATACCCGTGGGGCCACAGCTACGCCAAATGGTAAAACCGCGAACTGGTTCACGGTGAAGCGCAGGAATCGGCGATGAGCTGGGTGGATGGCGATATGAAAGTATGCGTCCTTCATGTCGAGGGCAGCATACCAGTTTCCTGGATCCAGGGGAAGGGAGAAAACTTGTTCACCTTAGCCTCTAAGGATAGAACCAGAAG